CCCACCCCCCCCCCACCCCCCGTGCAACACTGAGTTCTTGTGGTGGATGACAGGATAGCAGTGCATGAAATCTGGTCTCTGCTTCAATCTGAAATTATTATGGTCACATCTTGTCTATTGGTCTTTTACCCTGAATTAAAAAAAAGGGGGGGGGGGGCTGCTTTTCCCCAGCTTGATCTTCAGTGTTAGCCCACATACATGGCGTTCACTTCTGACGCATGCTCCTCTGGCGGTATGCCCGCACGCCGAACAGCTGACCTAAACTTCCTTCCCGCACACAGACGGCCGATCCGGTTCCTAGTCACTCGTGGAATTCCAAAACATGTTCTGGATCTCATTGGACAGTAAGGGCGTTCCACCAGTTCTGAGCCCTAACACCATGCCCATTTCTACGAATCTTTCACCATTTTGGGAATCAAAGCTCTGTTTGCCTGGTGCCTGGTTTACTGTATATGAAACATCTTTCCCCTGCTCTTCTATCCAAACTTATAGGCCCTCCAGACCCATCCCAGTGACCTCTGGCTCATCCCTTCTCCCACGTGATGGTCAAAGGGCTCCCCCTGGTTAGCATATCAGAAAGACGATTGAGAGCTGACTTAACCACAGCTAGATAGAAACTATTGCTACTAAGGAGTCCTCAGTCTAGCAGAGAAAGGCAGAGCGAGAACCATGGTCAGAAGCTGAGGCATGACACGCTCAAATTAAAACTCAGCTCTACTTTTTAAGAGTGAGGCTCATTAACCTTTGGAACAAAGCTCCAAGGGAACTGGCGGATTCTCCATTTCTTATCCTTTCACATGAAGGCTGGATGCCTGTCTGGAGCCTATTCTTTAGTTAAAGCAGGGGTCTCAAACTCACGGCCCGTGTGGTTTCACAATCCGGCCTAGAAGTCCTCTGAGGCCTGGGGCAGAGGGGGGAGATATGTCCACCTGCCCCTTGAGCCCCACCCCTTCCCACCCAATCCTCTCCCCCCTTATTGCCCCCCTTTTCCCAAAGCTCCGCTCATAAGGGATGCAGCCTTGGGACTTACTGGGGGGGCTTGGCATGAGGCAGCAGCAGGGATCAGGTCCTCCTCACTCCCTGCAGCTCCACTTCCCCGAGGCTCCCACCGCTGCCGTGAGTAGGGCTGCCAGGTGGTTTAACCAAAAAAACCAGACTCCCCCCCACACTCCAAAAAAAACCAAACCAACAACAAAACCACTGGGGAAAAAATTCTGTTGAGGAAAAAAAAGGGGGAGGCCAAAGTTGTTGAGGAAGAAAAAAGGACCCAGAGAGTTGTTAAGCAAAAAAAATTAAAAATTTAAAAATTTTTAAAAAGCAGCGTGGCCCCTTTAAGAAATGCTTTTGAGGCTTTTTGGCCCTAAAAGGCGGCCGGGGGCTGCTTGCCATCTTGTCTTCCTGCTCTGGGCCGGACAGCTCCCTTGCAGAACCCGGTAAGCACCCGGGATTTTCACCTCCTGGCCGGGAAAAAATCAGAAATTATCGGACTGTCCAGTTCAATACTGGACACCTGGCAACCCTAGCCTGAGTGCAGGGTCCCAAACCTGCTTTGGCCTCACGCCAGGCCCCCCAGCAATCCCTGAGGGGTGGGGTGCAATGGGGGGAGGGGCAGCGGCAGAGGGATGGGTACGGACACACACACACACACACACTGAGCTGCAGGGACTCAGATCAAAGTAGATGACCTAAGAGTCCCTTCTGGCCTTAAAACTCTATAATTACGCATCAGCTGAAGTAGGCACTTCTCACATAACATAAATAATCATGGCATCATGTTGAGTTTGTTTTCAAAAATGGCTGAAGCCACATTGCTATCTACAGTCACAAGTGTCCTCATCAAAATGGTCACCGTTCTGTAGGAGGGCTTCCTGGTCCTCTGCATTTTAATGTTCGCTGCAGTCAATTAAATCAAGCTGTGAAAAACCTGAGCAAAGAGTTTACAGAAGTTCTAGGATGCTAACTTTTCTCTGCTCATCATAATAAAAATATTGGTGTTAGACATTAAAATTATAGCGGAAAGTTGCATCTCTGGTGTAATATAACAAAACCCATTGGATGCTAATTTAAACATAATAAGCTCGATAATATGCAAAATGTAATAATGACAAAGTGCCTAATCCACTGAACTCAAGTGGTCTTGTAAACGGAATAAACAGTAAACTCTGCAACACCAAACCAGAGACAGAAAAAGTATCTGGGCTCCTATTTTCCTGTCCCAAGTTATTCTTAAAGTAGCTCCCAGGGCTCAAAGCAAGAGCTGGTGGGTGGCATTGCCACCATGCAGCTGATACTCAGCTGTATTTCTTTGTGTCATCACACACAGCTGGTGCCATTTTTTTAAACTTTCCCAGATTCTGGTCCAAATGGGTTTGGATGGCATCATGTCGTCTGATGCTCAGTCTGGAGAACACAGAGGTGGTCCTAGTTAGGGTCCCAATTCAGACAACTATTTAAGCATGTGCTTAGCTCTGCCCACACGAATGACATTAACTGACTTACTCACATGCTTGAGGTTAAGTAAATATTGACGTGTCAGAGCTCACTGCTGTAACAATTAAAGGAAATGTTCCCGGTGAAGTTCTGCCCATTTGTTCCTCAACTTTTTTGCTTCTAGAGAACCAGATAGTTATAGTGGTCAGAAGTTCTTTCAAGGTGCACTTGGCACAAAGAGTGTGGCCATTCCTTGCCACAGTTCTCTGGGTCTCTGTCACCTTTCGATGAGATGACTGCAATACACTGGATTTGGGAGTTCATTCAGATTTAGCATTGTTATGTATGCTAGTCATACCAAGTAAACACCACTGCCAATCCGAGTTATAGCCACCGAGGGTCTATTAGACTAGGCACATGGCATACACTGAAAACAAACAATCAATCTCATTTAAAAAGTTATTTAAATATTGTAATGAAACCCATGAGGCCTCCATCAGGAATGATCTTTCTAGGAAAAGGACATGCACACACGTGTCTAGGGCCATGCGCATACATGCACAATTCTCTAGTTCGGTTTCTTTGCTAGATTGGAGTTTTCCTTGACACCTGTTAAGCCCTTTCCTCATTTTGTTCTCAAGTATGGAGTGAACCTGTCTTCTGTGTTTTGGTGGCCTTAACGATTCAAAGCAAATAATTGGTGGCAGAGGTGCGAGTATTTGGGCAGTCGGGGCACTCTTCCCATGCAGGAAAACTAGAAAATAAAATAGAATTTAAATAAATGTGTCTTTTCTCCACTTCCCCATTTAAAAATATTAATGTGGTTGACGAGCTTTTCCTGATGCAAGATTTAAGAAGCAGCAACTGCTCTCAGGAGTCCCTGTGTTGTGCCAACATGCGTATTCTAACGGATTTCCAAGCTGTATCACCATTAGGACTTGGAACAGCAGAGCAATAGGAGGCACTTTCAAACTACACTTTGAATTAAGGTCCAATCCTGCTCCTGTGGAAACCAACAGAAATTCCACTCCCCTTCCCAAGGGGGGCGATCAGGTGCTTTGTGTAAAATCAGGGCACATTACAGTACCAAACCAGAAATTCTGAATGATGGTCACCAAGAGGTAAATGCATCACATACACGTGAAGGTGCCATTTCTAAAGGAGACATGGCTTGCAAATGCTTAGCAATGCCTGAGATGGGAGTGGCCCTTTGTGATTAACTGCTGCAAAAAAATGGGCATCCTTGGGGGGGGGAAGCATTTTCCAGTCCTTCAGTGTCTTCAGCAACACTCTCCTGAAACCTTCTGACTCCTTAACGATAGAATGGGCAGAATTCTGATGAAGTGAAGCTGCATTTAGATTTTACTGAAAACCAGAATACTGATTTGTATAAGGGAAACCAAGAATTCAGGACATATAAAGATAGTATTGGTAACTTTACATTGACAAGAGCAACGAATGGAGGCACTGGTCTTCCAGTGCTCCTTCTGCTGAAAAGCAACCTCTTTGTTATCCTACCTCCACTCCCTGGACCTTCAATTTCATGTGATCTTCTCTGGTGGTTTTCCCATCTTTCCTTTTTTTCCAGCAATATCCATCTTTCCTATATTTCACCTTCTTCCTGTTGTACAGGATCATAGAACCATTCTGTGGTCTGAAAACAAGAAACGGATGAATTACATAAAGAAACACACTAGAAAAATTTATGGTAAACAATATTAAGACCATTAAAAGCCTCTACAGAGAAGCAATACTCTATGTTTGGCTTAACAATTTTTCACCTTTGATTGCTGCTTGCCGGATTACCTATGTTTATGGCCTGCAAAAATTTACTTGGGATTTTGTACGTAGTGAATTAAATGTGGCAATAATAGTTCTGGGAAAAGATCCCATTAATAGTGTCACTGTCTGACCATGACACATTTCCCTTAGGCTGAGCTATGCTCTAAAAATAGAAGAAAAAGAAAGTGAAAGAGAAAGGATGCTGGTTATTTTATGGTACACACACTCTCATTTATTTTTAAACTTCTACCACCTCTTTTAATCCATCAACCAGGATTAGGTAATAAGTAGGTTTAACAGCAGTTGAATGAATATGTGAGCAAAAAATAAATAGGAAAGGCGTTCATTTCTCCCAGAATACATGGTATTCACTGCACGCACTTTAGATCAATGCTTCGGCTAAAATAGCTCTTTCTTTTTTGTTCATCATCTTAACTTCAAAGCTTCCTGACCACATTTTCCACTTAGGAATCATCTATTGAAGTCCTGAGATATCAATAGATAAGCAGAGCGATCCATCCAATACGCAGTAGTTAATATCTCTTTGGTGCACTGCAATAGTTCATTGAAATGTTTCATCATATGCTAAACGGGTAGAACAGAAATGCCATTTTTCTGTAACACAAAAAAATCCACTAAAAAGACACCATGCATCACATGCAGACATCAGTAATATAGATGGCTGCAAAAATTTACAGTGGTACATTAGTCACAGTAATTTGGCTTTGGAACACCAGGAACAGAAAGAAATACAACAACATTAGCAGCAGCAGCAATAAACAAATTTCACAGAAAAGCTTTTGCTGGCGACATTTGATAAAGTAAAAACTCTTGGACTTGCATAAACAAAACAAATTAGCATACAGAAACCTATCAGGAAAAAAAACTACACAATATATTTCACACCAATTTCTACAGGATTCAATTTTTTTAATTTTTTAAAATTTTATTTTGAAAAAAAAAATTATTTCTGGGCATCTTTATTTTCAGAAGGACCAAAAAAATATTTGACACTAGCAAATGCTACTAAACATTTTCAGCGTCAGCAGAGAGTTTCAATATAGCTCCCAGCCAAAAAAGCTCTTTAAACAAGCCAAATTATGTGATCTGTTTCATACAATATTGGCTTGTGGTTTAAAAGCCACACCAGAGGTGGGAGAAAAAAGCAATACTTACACCAGCTGGAAAAACATCTCTACCCCACACATACTTGCATGCCTCAAACATCAGTCATTCCAACATCATAAGCAGAAGGATATAATTTTACTCAGATTTTCATACTCCATTTTCTGTAAAAATGCAAGGTGCAACTCCTTGAAAGTGGTTACATGTAACAACAATTTGTTACACAGGAAAAATGCAGGAACAAAACAACGCCTGTTGTAAATGGTGCCAATAGTAACTCACACCAACACTGTGCAAAATACTCAGTTCAGTTCATCACTGTACATCATACACAACTGACACGTTTCTTCTGAGCCATGTAACAGCTGAAACGATGCAGACTAAGCTAATCCCCTTGTTACTGTACATCCAAGAGCAGCCCATGAACAATGCGAAGAGACTGCCACAAAGCGTGCCTGTTCTCTGCTTCTGCACTTGGTCCTGCCTTCATGCATGTAAACCAATGTCCATTCCGACACTTTCCCGGAAGAAATGCCAAATCATCCCCACCACATGGAACACCACCAGCATGGACAGGAAACTACTTCAACTCTCTTTCACCATGAAGAGAAACCTGCCGTATCTGAGCAACCTGACTGAATTCTGTTGATAGAAGGTAGAAGAACCAAACAGCCTAGCAGCCAGTCACCTCTCCCTTTTAACAAGCAATAATATGCACCATAGTGGCATTTCTTCTGGGATACATGTTAACCCAAATTCTATCACCATCTCGTTTAAAAATAAGGGAGGGGGGAACAGGACTTCCTTTGTGTCTTTTGTAGGTCCAAGCTACTGTTGGCACCTGGGTTGTGGAGAATTGTGTACAGCCATGTGCACAATTCTCTAAGTGCAAAGCTGCTGGTACCAGTAATTGAGGGCTAGCGGTAGTAACCCCAACCCTAAGCTTCAGTGTCTATGCTGAATGGAATTAATACTAGGTGAATCCACACTTTTCTAACTGCTACTCAGACTTGGGCTGGAGCACTGACATGAGCCTCTCCAATGTCTCTGATCATTTTCTTTGTTTCCTCTGCTTTGGAGAGTTTCTCACGACATTTAACCCACCCCATGGTAGCACCTACAGCCTCAGTCAGGTGGATGGCAAAACACAAATGACAGTCCCAACCACTTTTAGTCTGACTAGCACATGGTCACGAAATGTTTCCATAGCAATGCTATGGAATACTTGCATTATTCTTTGGGAATATTTTCACTTAGGTAGCACCCAAGGTTACAATCAGCCCTACTACAAATACTCGTGAAGATTTTGTCCAAGAGTTTCAGCCGTAAGGAAACCAGGAACACAAAGAGCAGGAGGAGTGAGGGGTGTAGTCTCAGATATACAGTTGTGATTTCTCAGTACCGACTAGTCTCACCTACACCCCCCTCCCCCACCATTTAGCATCCCAGCACAGACGGGTCAAATGGAGAGGTTTCAAGGAGGTGTGACAAAGCTCTGGCCATGCCCTGTGGGTTTTGCGCTGCTGACGGATCATATCAGCCTCAGAGGCTCTGTGGCCCTTCACACGACCTCCTTCTCTTTCCAAGAGGCAGGATTCCCAGCTTATTGAGTCGCACTCAGCACAGGCTAGTGCTTGGTTTCAGAGTGAAAACCCCTCTGTAGTCCTGCTCTCCCTCTTGGGGCTGTCTCTGTGTCGGCGTAGGGGGGGTCCCAGGCCCACCCACCACTCCAGGTCCTGGCCCAGGCGCCCTAAGGCAGCAGCAGAAGCAGAGCTGTTTTCACTTCCAGCCTGGCAACTTTCCCCGGGCCACTTCCCCGAACAACCCCTCCAAGTGCCTCCCTCTGGCACCTGCTAGCCAGCCCTCAGCTTACGCCCATACACGCACAGCTTCTTGCACCACGCTCCCTCCCTCCGGTCCGTCACTCCTTGTTTCCCTCTCTCCTTACCTGGGGAAAACCTTTTAAAGCAGCCCCACTGGCATTAATTGGCTTCAGGTGTTGAAAGACTTGCCTGAGGGAGCAAGCTAAGTAACTAGCCCCAGGTGTCCACCTGCCTTCATTTCATGGCATCAGTCTCTAGGAGTTTACGCTGAGAAGAGAAAGCCGTTGATCCAGCGCCTTGTATCCCTGCCTTCCACCAGAGTGTGGCAGGCTGCCACAGAGCCTGGTGGATCAATGCAGGGAGCGTGTTCTCTAAGGAGAGGGCAGGATGGAAGGAGGTGCAGGGAGGGTAACACGAAGAACAAGGAGGGATAACTAACACGATGGCCAATTTGCGGACGGCCATGAAGGTGAAAACAAGGAAGCAGAACGTGATGCAGCTGGATGCAATGGTGGGGATATGGTCCGAGGAGTGGAAAGGAGCAAGGCGATCCACGGAGCTGCCTCTTGCATTGCCTGGAGGGCGAGGTTAAGGAAGCCAGAGCGAAGGGTTTAGTTATCGAGATTGGCGATAACAAGGGCCTGGATGAGAATTCTGGTGATCTGGGTAGGAAGAAAGGGGGGAACCTTGGAATGGTTTTGTGCGCCGCATTTACAGGCATGGACACACGTGATTTCATTCAGACACTCCAAACTACTCACTCTGCTCTTCAGGAACGATGCCTGTGTGCTTTCCAAGACCAGTGAAACAGCAGAAGACATAGAAAGGAGCCAAATGGCAGCTTCCCCACTCCGATTATCACTGCCAGGCGGCAGTTTTAACGCCCTTTCACAGTGCTCTCTCAGATGTGCCACAGGGCCGGTTTCATACCAGCAATATTTTTTCCCCATCAGCCTTCTAGCAGAGCGTCTCTGGCATCTTGTAATGAGATCTCAGTTGAAGAGAATAATGTCAAACGTCTGACTCTGCTTCCTGCTAATCTCACCATGGGGCAGGATAGCTGCTCCCTATCTCCACTGCCACGCATGCCAGCCAGCATGGAATATGCCCAGGAAACTTACACCCTTCCAGTGTCCCAGCTGAATGGCTCTAGGAACATCTTGCTGTCCGCAATACACCATTTATTTCCTCTCGCTACCGATTATAATTATCCAGAATAAACCTGCCTTCATTCTCAAGACTGCATCGGCCACTGGTCGAGTGGGCCAAAGCTATGGATTCTTACACCTGCATCTCCCTCACTCAGAGATTTCACAGAATGACACAGAGTAATTTCTCTTCTTCCCTGACCATGTCTAATACAAGGCTGTCAGGGGTCCAGTCCCTTCCACCCCTTCTGTTCAATGCGCGTGCAATCTTTGAGTGAAAGTGTGAGCAATTCTATTACACACAGCAATTTTATTACTTTTTTCCATCAGCCCACATGTTTCAGTATACGTGCTTTCTCAGATTAGCACTATCAATATGGCCATAGAATCATAGAACACTAGAACCAGAAGGGACCTCGAGAGGCATCAAGTCCAGTCCCCTCCCCGCATGGAAGGACTAAGCACCTTCTAGACCAGCCCTGACAGGTGTCTGTCTAACCTGCTCTTCAATATCTCCAGGGATGGAGATTCCATAACCCCCCTAGGCAATTTATTCCAGGGCTTAACCACACTGACAGGTAGGAAGTTTTTCTAACTGGTGTGGGTTTCTTTTTTGGCTTTGTTTGAATGTGCTGAATTGATGAAGGGTGAGACTCTGAGTCATTTTGACTTAATCTGATTTTGTTACTGCTACTTTTGTCACCAGGCACTACACAAAACACTAAATATAGAAATCAATCATGAAAAGTTCTACACACCCACTTGACTGGGCTGAG